TTGTGGGGTGACTTGCCACCGGGTGCTCCGCAGGGGTGGCTGCGTGGTAATGCCGGACTACCTACACCACCTTCTATCGAGGAGCACAAGTGGCTCATTGAACCTGTGGGGACAGAGTAAGTGCCTCTCAATCATATTTTCAACACATGACAACATTTTCTTATTGTACACATGGCAATCATTTGATTCTTTTGCAGAAACTGGATCCTTCACGGAAAGGGCCGTAAACCGAACGGCCTTATCACTGTCCTGTTGAAGGAGTTTTGGCCTGGCCTATTCTGCCTGCGGCCAGACAGGGACCCGCAGCTGCGGGTTTTGGCCACGAGCTGGGCCCACTACGAGGCTTACAGCAACGCGGAGTACGGGACGGCCGCTAAGGCCGTGATCACCAAATTTTGGGTAAGTTCTCTTCTGAATCACTTGTCTTCAGTTTCGTTCATAGTTTATCATTGAATCACTCAACTCATGCCTTGTTTGCTTCTGGTTTATGCATGATTGCAGCAACTCTATAGAGTTCTTGACGAGCACAAGGCCAGAGCCGACGTGGTCTTGCTTGCGGCTGCGAAGAAGAAAGCTCGTTAGTTGCAGTAAGAGGTGCGCTGGGTTGCCGTCTCGCAGTACTACCACTACTACCTGCACCAAAAGATGACCAAAACTCAAGCGCAGAAGCTACGACTTACCTTGAGCAGGGAGCAGTTCATGATGGTAACTATTACTAACTTTTCATTGTTTCAAGCAATCAACTATATGTTTCGTGCTCACATGTCATGCTTCCAAAATTTGCATAGGTTGTTACTCGTTGGTGCTATGGAAGGCATGACGGATGGGCGAGTTTGGTGGATAGGTGGCTCGGCGCCGATGCAGAGTTTGCTGCCAAGAGCATCAAGGCCCGGGCTAACCGTGGAGCCGACGGGACACACGGCCAAGGAAACAGGAACCACTGGGGCTTCAAGGCCATGAAGGTATATCTATGTGCATGATGCATTTTTGTTCTTCTTTACCGTCATGTTCTTATGTATGGCTAACTTCTATTTGACGTTGTAGGAGGACAAGTTGAAGAGGCCGCTCTCAGGCATGGAGTCGTGGAAGCTGGCCCGCGAGCGGAGTCATCGCAAGGAGGGCGAGAGCCAGTACTACGGCAAGACCGAGGAGCACCTGGGGTCTTACATTCATCACTATCAGGAGTTGCATCCGGATGTTCCTGTTGCTGAGGTCGCCCAGTCTCAGATCGACGACACGGCGGTGGTGGCCATCCAGGGGAAGAAGAATGGCCAGTATCCGTGTTTCGACGGCTTGATCACTCCTTCGATCTCGTACACACAGCTTCGGGCTACCAACCCGAGCCAGTTAGAAAGTACGGGGCGTTCACAGACTCCCTTAGCCCGCCAGCATGCTGTAAGTACTTCCTCTTTATCTTTTTCTATCTAGCATTCTAAGTTTATTTTTAGCATTGCTCACTTAGAAACAACCTAAATTATGTAGCCATATAAGGAGTTTGTCGAGCATAGGAATCTCGAGGTGCGGGAGTACTTGAAACGAGTGAAGGCAAACGATGATTACAACCATCAGATGATGACGGTTAGTTTTGCCCTCTTAAAACCAAGCTAAATTTTTGCACTTTCATTCCATCTGATCTTCTAGTTTGCTTGTTTAACTAACATTCAGGCTATGTTGGCGTCTTGGAGTAACCGCACGGATCCACCACAAATGGGACCCCCACCACCACCTGCGGGAGAACCCCCACACGTGCCCACGTTCGATGAATGGGTGGCACTAGGCAGTGATGGTCCGGTTAGTACATTTGCCTAACTACTGGCAAACTAGTTCTCGTTCATTCAACACTATCATATCATATTTACCGTTAGAATCTTTTCTGAAACATGTAGGGGACCGGTGGCTCGACTCCTGCTCCATCGACCCCAGTCACTCCGATCTGGCAGAGTGGTGGTGGTCGCGATGGCGGTTTTGGCGGAGGAGGTGGTGGTTTTGGCGGAGGTGGTGGCGGTTTTGGCGGAGGTGGTGCTTTTGGTGGAGGTGGTGGTTTTGGCGGAGGTGGTCTTGCTTGATGATTCCGTGCATGTGGCCATCGTGCCATGCCTTTCATATTCCTACTTTTACGATGTTTCATGTCTTGCACTACTTTTATGTTCATGAACTTCCGTCGGTGATGATCTTTAGATGATGTGATGAACTTAAGTATGTTTAGATGATGATGGTGAACTTGAGTATGTTTAGATGAACTTGAGTATGTTTAGATGATGAATTGTCATATTTCTGCATAATTTCATATTGTTCTGTTTTGAAATGCTGTCAAATGAATTGGAAAAGAGAAAACAGGGAAAATAATAATAATAATAAAACTATGCCTACGGCAAAGCCGTCGGCATATATAAGCCCAGGAGTTACCAGGGCTCGCCACGTGGCATATCTATGTCGACGGCTTTGCCGTAGGCATAGCTGGAAATCTATGCCGACGGCTTTGCCGTAGGCATAGCCCTGCTGCCAGGAGGAACCAGGAAACGACACGTGGCAGAGCTATGCCTACAGCAAAGCCGTCGGCATAGATTCATCTATGCCTACGGCTTTGCCGTAGGCATAGCCCTGCCACCAGGAGTACTACGGGTTGCCACGTGGCAGAGATATGCCGACGGCAAAGCCGTCGGCATACCTCTGCCACGTGGCGTTTCGTGGTTCATCAGCGCTTTTGACGGCGCCGTCCGTTGCCGTCAGACGAAAAACACTGCCGACAGCTAAACTATGCCGACGGCTGACGTCAGGCCGTCGGCATAGGCTCCTATGCCGACGGTCTGACAAGACTACGCTGACGAAATCTACGCCGACGGGCCTATGCCGACGGCAACCGTAGGCATAGATCTATGCCGACGGCCTAGGGGCCTATGCCGATGGCCCATGGCCGTAGGCATAGTCCGCGAGTCCGGTAGTGCGACAGATTATGGCGGGATAGCGCCGTGATTATGGGATGTCCTCGTATCTCTCGGTCTTCTACGGTCCAACCGAATAGACCGGGCTTTAACCGGACCGGACAGAAGTTTTTTCGGTCCAAATTTCACAGACCGGATCGGTTATTTTTTTTGAGCGGGCCAGGACCGAGATGTGCAGGACCGAGCGGGCCACGAGCGGGCCAAAAAGCCCGCTCGTGTCGTCCACCCTGACTCGCCGGTGCCAAAATCGGCCTTTTCACTGCCGACGAGCCCGTCGTCCTGTAGCTCTGCCTGATGGCCGCAGAGGTCCGTTTTTGCCCCGAACCGAGCCAGCTGACCTTGGAGATGGCGTAAGAAGGTCCGCCTCAACTCCTAGACAGTCGACGGCATCAGAACCGACGAAGAACACCACGACCGCTGCCCTGTAGCCTCCCCGCGTCCGTCGCCTCCACGCCCGGGAATCGCCTCTGTGGACTGCTAGCCAGCGGCGTAGGTGCCCTCCAGGAGCTGAAGGGGGCGTGGTGATGTGTTAGAAGTATAAACGTGTTAGTTAGAGATAAGGAGAGATAAGAGATATATTTGGTTCAAACTAACAATGACTTGCCTTGTACTTCCATCCTCTTCTTACATTGTACTCTACCCTACAAGGGTCAGATCAATACAACACAATACAACAGAAATGTTTAGCCATCCTACAATTCTGCATGGTATTCAGTGGTGGAGCTACATCAGGGAAACTGGGCGGGCCAGTACAAAGGGAGCCCATTAGTTTTGCCCTCAAGGCCCAGTATACTCTCAGTCCTCCACTGTATTTGCTGTGGGCTGGGCGGGCCATGGCCTGTTTTGGTAACACGTAGCTCTGTCATTGATGGTATTAGAGCGGTTAGTCCAACGAGGTTGATTCTAGGTTTCTCCACCACTTCCACAATGTGCCGTCCCAGGGGAGATTAATCTCTCGCCTCTGGGCACGACATCCGGTCAATCAAAGATTAGATCAGTTCTAGATCAAACTCCATAGGCTTCCAGTTTTTGAGTTTTCAGATCCATCCACTAGATTGGTTCAATTAGCCACCAAATAATTTTGATTGACCCCATTGTCTGGCGAAGGAAATCCAGCAAAAATCATGCTTTGAATGGCAGCGAGACACCGACGACTTGCAGCGGACGACTTCAAGGAGCGCACACTTCAATGGTCAGCATCAACAACAGCTACGGAAGGGGAAGACGATGGATCTGCTAAGATGCGAAAAGGGGAAGCCCTGTTCCCAAGGATCCACATGCTCCGAAGCAGCGAAGCTTGAAATGCTTGGTACTCAAAGGCTGCCGGGAGCTAAGAGCTCTCCCATGACAGCTTGGACAGGAGGCAATTAGCTTGAAATCGCTCTATTTAAGAGGAGCAAGGTGCTTGAGCATGTTGGAGGATCTCCCATTCCTCTCTCAGATGCTTGTAGTCACTGGATGTGACGTCCTCGAGAGGGTCTCAACCTTCTTAAACTAAGAGAGCTCCGTGTATCAGGTTCTCCAAACTTAAAACTTAAACTTGAAGTATGGTGAGGTGTTGCGTTTGCAGCAGCTCTGGCTGGATGCAGGACATCTCTGCCATGTGGGTACCAGGGCTTCAAGTCCAAGAGCGGCACAGGACATATTAGTACAAAGTTGGGTCATCTATTTTGGAACGGAGGGAGTAGAAGACACCTAATTACTACTCCCTCCATTCTAAATTACTCGTCGTGGTTTTAGTTCAAATTTAAACTAAAACCACGACGAGTAATTTGAAACGGAGGGAGTAGATGGCAATGGAGAGGTACAAGTATTGAATAGACATTTAATTTTCTTATTTGGTCTGCGTCCTGCCTTGTTCAATTGTGCATCTAGTGCTCTGCTCTGCCTATGTTCACCATTTTCTAACATAACTAACATTTCATGTCCCTCAGGTTGATATTAAATTTGTCTAACTTCTATTACTAGCATAAGCATGTGGACAGCCTGTCTTTGATAAATTTGGCAGGGAACATGGAAACAAGGCCAAGAGTGAGACCTTACCGTTACACATCAGAATTAGATGGCCGCTCCATCAAATAGACTGCAAGTAAAATCATGGTTCGCTAGCTCTATTTTGTCTGCCTTGACAACAACACTTAGTTGAAGGGGTGCAAAGCTCCGATCAGGACCATAGAAATGAGGAAAGTAGTTACGACCATCAGTTGCCTCATAAATCAAGCCATCTGCAATCTACGATACACAAGAATAGTAAATTGTACATGTAATGTCTTCGCATCAATAGGTGGCAATTTATGCATATGTCCTAACAACCATAGTAAATATAGATTTAAAGATACAAAAAATTGTTAATTTCCTCAATAGCTACAATAAACTGCTAGGAGAAGAAATAAAATGGGTGTTGAAAGATTAATACCTTGGCAGTGTCAATTTGTAGCAGGTATAGATCATTTTGCCCACGGAAATAATTCTTTAGCGTCATCTTCACCTACACCAAGTCAAGGAAGGATAAATGCATATGATTCATATCTTCTGAAAAAAGAAAAAACTCTAGGTCAAGTCATACCAACGAAAGAACAGGGATGATATGCACAATTTAAAATTTGATATAGTCTCCTGAAACAGGCACAACATTGATTCAAAGTAGAAGTCAGTGCCCAACTTAACATGTTGCAGTTCAAGAAAGTGAATGGGAATGTGTATCATGTGAATAAGTAAAAACGTCTCAAAACTAGTGTAGTAAGAGCATATTGCAGAGCATGTGCATAAACATGTTTGTCCCTTTTCACGAAAACACAGCCTAAGAGCGCATCATTTTCGATTTTAATTTCTGAATAGAAGAAATTTGCTGAATTTGATTTTCTTTTGGTATAATATGTTGTAATATGAGTGTTCTTTTCAATAGCATTGATCTACATCTCGTCCCATGAATCATTCTTCAATAGCTTGCTCGGTAGTACCAACCTAAATAAACTGAAAGATTCAACCAGAAGTAACAGACATTTAGTATTTGATTACTGGGAATAATCAGAGCAACGAAATCCATGGCCATGCCCTACGTCCAAATCAAGCAGGCCCGTATGGCAGGCAGGTGCAGCCTGTGCGATGGCACAGGGCCCCAAAACATATCTTAAATGGCAATAAATAGTATTAGTCAAGGGAATATCCAAGCAACACTTCATTTCCTGTAAAACATTCCAAGTACCAACGCTAGCCAGTTCCAAATTCTAATGCAAGCCACTACAGAAACACAAGTGCACGCCTTTCTCTTGACCTCTCTGTCGACTTAAATAACTACTCCGTCCCACAATATAAAACATTTTTGTAAGCTATAAATCACCGCTAAGGGATTATTATTGGGAAGATTATGTTTATAGTATGCTAAATATATAATAAATCATCCTTCCGTCCCAAAATATAAGACACTTTAGCAAGCTATGTTAGTTTACAAAACGTCTTATATTATTAGACGGAGGGAGTATTTTCTATCTAAAGGGCCTCATTTCGTGCTATTTTGCACCGGGCCTCTGAATTCTCAGGTACGACCCTGAAATCAAGCAATACAGGGAGAAATCTACTGACAAATCTGACAGAATCTGACAAACCGAGAGATCTGGAGGGAGGGCGGTACCTGACCGTGGAAGCAGCCGGTGGAGCGGTCGAGGTCGCCCCGGCGGTGCGCTGAAGCTCCGCCCAATCATCCACTCGCTGAGGTATACACAAACGCTGGCGGGGGCGGCAGCGCCATCGCGGTGGCCCGCTAACAACTGTGCTGTCAAAAGTGCAATGAGCTTGGTAAACGACAAGTGGGCCATAAGGCCAACTCGACCGCGCGACCCCAAACGGACGTCCGTTTTGTCCGGATTCTGTCCATTTGGGTAGCGATTTGGGGTCGTGTTCGGGCGTGTCCTGGGATGCAGTGGCCGTGCGCCCAACGCGCGGAAGCATCCTTTTGCCCTATCCTGTCCGTCAGGGCCAAAAATGCCCAAATTTTCATCAAAACTAGTTTACAACCCAAATATTTGTCTGAAAATTAAAATAGTTTTACAACCCAATTGAAATTGTCTTTAATAAAATATTTTTACAACCAAATCGAAATTGTCTTGACTAAACATAAAATGGACCAATACATCTATTGGTTGCCAATATGATCCCACACGTGCTCAACCAAGTCATTTTGAAGATTCAAATGAGATTGCCAATCACGCATCTCACGATGGAATTGAGAAAACTGTTCAAATGTGGCCGGGTCTTGGTGCAGGGGCTCAATATTTTCACCTTGATAGTCAAATCCTTGGCCGAAGATACTCTCATCACGCTCGTCCTCGACGATCATGTTGTGCATGATCACACAAGCAGTCATCACCTTCCAAAGCTTCCTTTCATCCCATGACAGTGCAGGGTTTCGAACGATACCCCACTGGGATTGAAGCACACCAAAAGCACGTTTCACATCCTTTCTAACACTCTCTTGCATTTGGGCAAATCTCTTTCTCTTCTCACCTTGGGGTTTCGAGATTGTCTTCACAAAAGTTGACCACTGAGGATATATATCATCTGCTAGATAGTATCCCTTGTTGCAATGGTGGCCGTTGATCTCAAAGTTGACAGGTGGGGAGTGGCCTTCTGCAAGCCTCGTGAAGACTGGAGAACGTTGCAGCACGTTGATATCATTGTGAGAACCTGCCATGCGGAAGAAAGAATGTCATATCCAAAGATCCTGTGATGCCACCGCTTCCACGCCTTGACATGCCCTTTGTACTGGCCCTGCCAAGTAAATGGACAGTTCTTCCACTCCCAGTGCATACAATCTATGCTGCCAAGCATGCCTGGAAAGCCTCTAGCTGCGTTGGTCGCCAACAATCTCTCTGTATCAGCGGCAGTTGGCTGCCTCAAGTACTCTGGGCCAAACACCTCGATCACAGCCTGGCTAAACTTGTACATTGACATCAGACATGTTGTCTCACTCATACGCACATACTCATCCACCAGATCGCCTGGAATTCCATATGCAAGCATGCGGATGGCCGCGGTGCATTTCTGGTAAGAGGAGAATCCAAGCTTGCCAAGGGCATCCGTCTTGCACTCGAAGTATGGGTCATGAGCAACCACTCCCTCTCGATACGATTGAACACATGCCTTGCCATTCGAAAACGGCGACAGAATTTATCCGGCTTGAAGAGCGGGGTGTTGGCAAAGTAATCGGCATAGAGCAGGGCGTGCCCTCTCTCCCTGTTGCGGTTCAGGTTGGGAGCACAGCCAGGGAGTGACCCCCTGTACCGAGGAAGCTGCCGTTGAATGTGGTCGTGAACGACCAGTGCAGCCACCACAATATCTTCATCATCCGATGACGAATCGTCCGATGAACAAAGAAAGTGATGGAAGAAAAACTCGTCTCCACTATCCATACCTTTGTGGGCAAAATGCCGAACACCTTGCGGGCATGGTAGCGAAGAGGCCGCGATGATCACCTCGACGCAGCAGGGGTGGTTGCCGGCCGGCTACTGGCCGCTGTGGAGCTCTCGTCGGGAGCTGCCGAGGACACCGTGCTGCGTCGCCGGCGGTCCTGTCCCCTCTGCGGCCGGCAAAGACGTCGACGGCCAAACCTCCGATCGACGGCCAAAACTACGGCCACAGCACGGGCGTGGTGGCGGCCATGTCGAGAAGTGGTTTGGTAGGGACGGCCGGAGGCTGCGCGGTGAGGAGGCGGCCGGAGAATAGCAGCGGCGCCGACGGCGGGGCGGGGTGAGAGAGAGAGAGAGGGTGGAAGCATTGGGAGCGGAGGGACTACTAGTGTCTCCGATAGGCGGGCCGGGGGGACAAGGGCGTGCGTCCAAGCCGTCCGCGCGCGTCCATTTCACCCCAAACCGAGCGCAAGTTTAGGCCGAGGATGGGTTGAAAACGAACGGAATCCAGACATTTGTCCGTTTGAGGCCGTGCGCTGGGCTGCGCTATTCGTCCGTTTTACCCAAACGGACAGGGGCGGACAGGATAGGGTCGCGTGGTGGAGTTGGCCTAAGCTGAAGCGAAGGAATACCAAAGGAACGTCACCGGCGATGCCCACGGCTTCCTCCGCGGCCGCGCCGTCGTTCTCCTCCGCCATCCCCTGCTCAACTCCCACCCCGCTCCCACCGCCTTCTCCTTCAACGACGCCCTGCGCTTCTTCGCCGCCTCCACCTCTCCCTTCTAATGCTCTACTCCGCGCTTCGCCCTCCGCCCCGGTGCCTACACTCTCCCTTTTATTCTCCTGGCCGCAGCCCGGTGCCCCTTCGCAGTCTTCAGAAGCTGGGGCTGCAGAGCCACGACCACACTGTCCATTCCCTCGTCACCATGTACTCCAACCTCAGCTGTCCCCGCGCCGATCGCAAGGTGTTCGACGGAATTCCCCAATGAGACATTGTCTCTTGGAACTCCATCATAAAAGCGTAGTATGAGCGGGCTTGGATGACAGTATTGTTCTGTGCAAAGGTTGCCGAGCATGCCGTGTTGGTAGGTGGTTGGAGGACTAGGTGAAATGTGCGGGCATTGAGAGCATCTTCAACAGGCGCCCAACGCGCCGCGTGGTAAAAACGAATTTGGTGCGCGCCCATCGCCTGGTTTGGCGGGCGCGCAGCGTTTGCTCCAGCAGCCGTGCTGAAAAGCCGCGCGCGCAGCTTCAGCAGGCGCGGTAAAATGCAGCGCACGTTCATTCTACAATATTTTTTAAATTAAAATTACATAGATAAAAAAACGATACAAAGATATTTTACATCGGTGCAACCACTACGGCATAGATAAATAGATAGTTCGACATACATAGATAGATAGATACTACTACGGTATAGATAGATAGATAGAAACTACTACGGCATACATAGATAGAAAACTACTCCAAGTCGCTATCATCACCATCATCACTCTCGTCGGTGTCGTCCGAGGTTGAGAGCCATATGTCGTGCCAACGTTCATCGTCCGAGGTGAAGAATGACCTCCCATCCGCGGAGACGATGCCGCACTGCTCGTTCACCACTGCCTTCCGCTGACGCCGGTCCGTCCGCTTCTAACGGCGCCTTGCCGTCCTCTCCGCCCAGTAGGCACGCTCGGCGTCGACGTCCTCTGGGTGGCGACGACGCCACTCCGCCATGGCTCGCTCGTCCTCTTCGGCGACGAGGAGACGACGCTGCCGCCGAGAGTGGTCGGCACGGTCCATGTCCGTGATGAGACGCGGCGGAGGGGCGAGGCACTGCGCCTCCTTGCGCGTGAAGACGTCCCGGAAATTCATCTGCAACCGGGGCCTCTCCAAGCGCCACGCCGCCGCGTTGTACGCGCGGGCCGCCTCGCGCGCGCTCCGAAACGTCCCGAGGCCGAGCCGGACGTCGCCGGACTGTATCTCGGCGGAGTACCAGCCGTTGGGGCGCTCGCGGACGCCGCGAAAGCCCGAAGCACCCCGGCAGCGCGGCGGCATGGTGGCGCGGTGGTGGCGCAGAAAGCGGCGAAGCGGCG